CCCCCCCCCTCGTAGAGTGACATGTCCGCAGAACGCGCGGGCTTGTTACCGGGGTGGCCGTCATGTCTGTGAAAACATGTTGGTGACGCACCTGGGTAGATTGGCAGTTATCGGTGGCGGGAGTTTATCCAAAAAATTTTTCGCAACACCATCTTTGTCGTTCTTGCATTCTTTTTGAAAAAACTCTATGAATACTGTCCATCTTCGGAGTAAAGTGCGCAAGCATTAACAAATTGACAGCCACCGAGTGAATGATGGTTTCAGTGTATTTATTGGGTCTAAATCATGACTTTCTTGGGCTAAAAACCATCTGTGAAGGCGTTTTGCGCTATTGGAATTTACGTAATTGAATATTTCCCTTATAAGAAGCTGACAATCATCCGGTAAACATGTCATAGCGCGTCTGATGCACAGATTTTCAATATGACAGCTACATTTTACGATAATAATATTCGGCACTTTTTCTTTTAGCTTCGATGCAACTGAGTTATTGCTGCCTATCATGAAATTGCACGTGTCTGAACAAAATGCCACAATATTTTCCAGTGGGATATCTTCAAAAGTATTGAGAAGTTTTTTAGTTATCTGATAGTGGGTGCAAGTAGATTTTTCGTCCTCGTACATCTTGACCAAATCCCACAGCACTTCAACCATTTTTCTTGAATCCTTGTCAAATAAACGAACAATTACACACATCGATTTTTCTAAAGTAATGTCCGTGCTTTCATCGATGATCATGCTGAATTTAGTTACTTTTAAAATATCTGATAAACGTACTTTCCAAGCGGGAGCGAGAACGTTATTAATTAAATTTGACATTCGTAAACGACATAGCTCTAAATCTACTAAGATTTGAGAATCATCGATGTAGTTTTTTAGCAAAGGTATCAAGTAATTACAAAAAAGAAAGGGAACGTTTCTCTCAGCAAATAACATGGTTAATCGTATTTGTAATAACGCCACTTTTATTTCGTGTTTACTAAAAGTACCTGTCATGTTCTTCATTTTCCTTGTATGTTTTTTTCCTTTTTAAATGTTTAAAAACACTCTCCGTGCACATGCTTTCCCCTTCGCCCTGGCATATGCAACAACGCACTGTCAAACCACTGTCATCAACTTCATCGAAAAAATCGCATAAATCGCAATGATCCAAAAGTTGGTTGATGCTTCTTCATGTAAACTTCAGTATTGAAATTAAAACTATAATTTTTTACCGACATTTTTTCTCAATAATCGCTATTACAACTACGAATGCGCCAAACGTACAGACACTTAACTAACACTGAACGATAAACGAATTCATGAAGGGTATTGATGTATACGAGAAAAAAACAAGCAACGACGAGTTTAAGACCGTTTTGTTTTCATGCTGCAATTGCTGTTCCTACTTCGAATAAAGAAAGAAGACTCTACGAGCGTCACTCTATTCATGGATTTTTTTGAATCATCTTTACCCCATTGCGTGTACTTTACTTCTTTTTCAGTATGAATATCAATTCCTTTAGCTAAAATTTTTCTCATGCCATCTTTACTTGGGCAATTTGAACAATTGTGCAACATACATTCTTGATCATCCAGTGAGCAAACTCCTGCTTCTATTACTTCTTTATAATTTAACTTCGGATTTATGGCACACAGTTTCAGTTTAACATTTTGATGGATTCCACAAACACACACGTTATGTGTACCTGAATCTCCAGCAAAAATACATTGCTCGGGTTTCAAGCTTGCAAAAAAAGCCAAACAAGGGATATTATCAATCTTTGTCTCCTCTATCCACTTTTTGTACAATTCTTTTAAATCAAACAAAATTACTCTTTTTTGTACTTTTATTTTTTCTCCATCTGATGTTGTTATAGTAATACATTCTTTTTCGCCACTCGATGACAGACTGTTAGAATCATCCAAATAAAATGTGTTAATCTCTGCTCTTACTTCTACAGAGACACGCAAATAATTTTTTCTCACTCGAGTACCTAGTACACCTATGAAATAGATAATTTACATATAAGTTAAATTTACTCATAGTAAAAAAGTTAGACGGAAAATGAGATTAATATTCGTATGCTTACCAAAGTTTTGTTTTAATTTATTCGCCTGTGTTATGTACCGGGGGTCGACTGGTCGCAAGAGCCGATGCGCAAGCGCGCAGACGACGTAGATGGAGTCGGTACGGTAGCGATGATCCTGATCGGCCGTGGAGGTAGGTTCGGTTCTCAATTAACACGTTGAAACGTGAGGAAGACACACGCGCACTCCCGGTGGTGATGATACGTACGACGACAAAATAATGACCTCAAAGAGGTGGGTCGACGTTGCCTCGACTCTCGCGAGGAGGGCTTACGTCGGGGAGATCACGTCGAGGACGTACAACGGACTCGTTGCCACTCGTCGCGCACGTGCTCCACTCGTTTGAACAGCAAGTCGGAGCTTGCAGGAAAAGGTTGATGACCTGCGGGTCGTGAGACTCCGGTAACGCAACTCTTTCCTCTGGACGATCTTGCCCGTGCCGAGAGTCAAGAGGACATCCGCCCAAGTTGATACCCGAACACGAGGTCGACCGAGGAGAGGGGAAGAGGGAGCACCGGCACTCGATCGTCAGAGCCCCGCACCGGGATATTCTCCCGTGTACGACGCTGTGGCGACGGGCGGCTGTGATGCTCTCGTTCGAAGGACTATGTCCGGTAATTAGCTCACACTGAGAATAAAATCTAGTAAAGTTGACTACAGCGCCATAGTAGATTCTACTATGGTACGGAAGTAACTGCGGTCCCAGTTGATTCTACCAGGTACTTGGGTAGATTTTACTACGGAATCCGAGTAACATGTTACGTTCATGCAGAAACATACTTTTATGATTTATTAAACATACTTTTAATATTTTAATGAAAAATATGTTCATTCAGAATCATAAATACATTTCAAAACTTTTTTTCAAATAAAACATTATAATTACAAAAAGAGTCAGAATAATTTTACAAAAATTTTAAACTTTCATTATAATCAACCTTATTTTAGATAAAAAGTTTAACGACAACTCATTCTTTGTATATCTGAATATGTTCAGAATTATAGAATTAATTATGACCAAGAAATAGAAATCCTATTTACAATGGGAGTTGTCGTTGAAAGTTCAAGGACTTATTTTAAATAAAAAGTTAGATAAGAAGTAGATAAGAAGTATTTTAGATGAGCAAGAAATGGGAATCCTATTTACAAGGGGAGTTGTCGTTGAAAGTTCAATGACTTATTTACAATAAGAAGTTTAACGACAACTCTTTCTTTGTAAATTAAAATATACTCAGCTTCAATTAAATATGAGGAAGAAATGAGAACCCTAGTGACAATGGGAGTTGTCGTTAATCTTCTTATCTAAAATAAGTCCTTGAACTTGCAACGACAACTCCCATTGTAAATAGGATTACCATTTCTTGCTCATAATTAATATTCTAATTCTGAACATATACAGATATTCAAAGAATGGGTTGTCGTTAAACTTCTTATCTAAAATAAGTCACTATTAATAACTCCCATTGTAAATAGGATTCACATTTCTTGCTTATAAGTAATTCTTTAATTCTGAACATATTCAGATATTCAAAGAATGAGTTGTCGTTAAACTTCTTATTTTAAATAAGACATTGAACTTTCAACGACAACTCCCCTTGTAAATAGGATTCACATTTCTTGCTCATCTAAAGTACTTCTTATCTACTTCTTATCTTACTTCTTATTTAAAATTAGTCCTTGAACTTGCAACGACAACTCCCATTGTAAATAGGATTCCCATTTCTTGCTCATAATGAATTCTTTAATTCTGAACACATTCAGATATTCAAAGAATGAGTTGTCGTTAAACTTCTTATCTAAAATAAGTCACTGAACTTTCAACGACAACTCCCATTGTAAATAGGATTTCCATTTCTTGCTTATAATTAATTCTTTAATTCTGAACATATTTAGATATACAAAGAATGAGTTGTTGTTAAACTTCTTATCTAAAATAAATCACTGAACTTTCAACTACAGGTCCCATTGTAAATAGGATTCTCGTTTCTTCCTCATATTTAATTGAGGCTGAATATATTTTTGAATTTACAAAAAATGACTTGTCGTTTAACTTTTTATCTAAAATAAATCACTGAACTTTCAACTACAGGTCCCATTGTAAATAGGATCCTCATTTCATGCTTATAATTAATTCCTTCAGGCTGAACATACTCAGCTTTACAAAGAATGAGTTATCGTTAAGTTTTAATTACAGAACATATATTCAAATATTGGACGTTTAAAGACGACAAATAATTAAAATTAACCTTAATTTGTTTATCTAATAAGTTAATGTCCTGAATCAAAACATATCGATGAATTTCTCTAAATTATTTTGAATTAGAACATTTTTCCAGAGTCGTCCATTGATACAAATATTTAACGCGTGCAGTTTACCCAAGTATATAGTTAAATCTACTCGAGCGGCAGTTACTTCACTACTATAGTAGAATCTACTATGGCGCTGTAATCAATCCTACTAGATTTTATTCTCCGTGCAGAGGCTAAGTTCGTTATGTAACTCAGAGACTAAGTT